TATATATCACTTTACCCAGAAATTTCACTACTGACCCAAGAGTATTGAAGTTCATGTGCTAGGGATAGAAGTTAGTGCAGAGTGCTTGCTTAGCACATGTAAGGCTCTAGTTTCTGTACCCACTACCACAAAAAGAAAGAGAGAGAGAAAAAAAGAAAGTACATATTTGTACAAAAATGTACGCATGAATATCCATAGCATTATTCATAATAAACAAAGGGAAAGGATACCTTGAATGTGTATGGGTAAGCTTGATGAGGATACATCAAAGAATTATTCAATAATAAAAAAGAGATGAAATATTGATTGTGCTACACGATAGATAATACAAAGCATTTTACTGGGTGGTAATATAGCTTAAGAATACTTGCCCTAGTACTTGTAAGGTCCTGGGTTCCATCCCCAGTCATAGAAAAGCACAGTAGACTAAGTGAAAAAAATCAGCTACAAGTTATGATTCTATTCATAGGAATTATCTGGAATAGGCAAATCAATAGAGAGGAAAAGGAGATTAACTGCAAGAGCTTGAGGAGGGACTCTAGCTTGGAGCTCTCTGCATAGCCCAGGGTGGTCTCAAATTCACGATCTTCTTGCTTCAATTTCTTGAGTTATGAAATTACAGGAAATGTTACCTCCCTCCCTCCCTTCCTCTCTCTTTCCCTACCTCTGTTCTTTCTTCCTTCTTTAGGTGAGGTCTAACCTTGTAACCTAAATGGATTTTTTTTTCTTGGGGAGAAGGGTGGGATAAGGTCTCCTGTATCTAAGATTGTTCTGACACTCTTTGTAGTAGGATGACCTTGATCTTCTGAGGCTCTTGCTTCTATATCCACCTCCCCAGGGCTGGGATTACAGATGTGCCCCACCACACCCAGCTTATGAGGTGCTGGAGACTGAATCTAAGGCTTTGGATAAGCTTGGCAAACACCAGCTGAGCTACATCCTCAGCTCCCAGTTGTATACTTTTAAGAATAGTGTTTATGATCTTTAAATAGTTTTTAGTGATGATTTTTATTGCACTCATTAATTAATTCACTTACATATTGTGTGTGTGTGTGTGTGTGTGTGTGTGTGTGTGTGTGTGTGTGTGTGTGTGTGTGTGTATACCTTAGCATGCATGTGGAGGTAAGAGGATAATTTACAGAAGTTGACTCCAGGACATCTGGCTTAGTAATAAGTACTTTCACTCTGAGACATCTTGGCAGTCTTGACTTGTTGCTTTAAAATGGATTACAGTGACTGTGATAGAACAGGCTTGCAGTCCTATCGCTTGGGGTGCCAAAGTAGGGGGATTGTGCATTTGAGGCCAGGCTGGGGTACATAGTGAGATCTTGTATTAAAAACAAAACAAAGGGCTGGAGAGATGGCTCAGAGGTTAAGAGCACTGGCTGCTCTTCCAGAGGTCCTGAGTTCGATTCCCAGCAACCACATGGTGGCTCACAACCATGCGTTATGAGATCTGGTGCCCTCTTCTGGTGTGCAGATATACATGGAAGCAGAATGTTGTATACATAATAAATAAATAAAATATTAAAACAAAACAAAACAAAAACAACCAAACATAAATACTAGTAACTAAGCATAGAGACACATCCAAATTCTCCTGTATCTAAAATGCTCAAGCCAACTAGAAAACCATTTGACAGATTATATATATCATGCATGTTAAATTAAACATAATCATTATTTTTCATCATGGCAGGGAGCATAGCAACCTGTAGGCAGGCATGGCACTGGGGCAGTAGCTGAGAACTCACATCTTGAGACAACAACCATGAGGCAGAGAGAGTCAGAGAGAACTAACTGGGAATGGTATGGGCTTTTAACAAGCCTTCTTCAACAAGACCATACTTCCTAGTTTTTAAACAGTTCTATCAACTAGGATATATATATCATATATCATATATGATTATATATCATTCTATATATGAGCCCATGGGGGTCATTTCAGATCACCACAGTGACAAAATATTCTCCATTTTAAGGCTTCCACTAGTTACACTTATGTTTGTGTTTTTTTAAACCATAGGTTCTCAACCTTCCTAATGCTGCAACCCTTTAATACACTTTCTCATGTTGTGGTGAATCCCCAACCATATTTTTCTTCCTATTCATAACTGTAATTTGCTACTGTTATGAATCATGATGGAAATATCTAATATGCAGGATATCTGATATGTGATGTGACCCCAGTGTAAATGTCATTTGACCCCCCAAAGGGGTCAGGACCCACATGTTTAAACCATTCAAAGTTTATATGCATGAAATTGTACCCTAAATAAATATTTTTATTATACAAATCATATGTCAAGCAAGCTGAACTTTAAATATTTATTTATTTATTTATTGGTTTTTTTGAGACAGGGTTTCTCTGTGTAGCTTTGGAGCCTACCCTGGCACTCGATCTGCAAACCAGGCTGGTCTCGAACTCACAGAGATCCACCTGCCTCTGCCTCCGGAGTGCTAGGATTAAAGGCATGTGCCACCAATGCCTGGCTAACTTTAAGTATTTATAATGTAAGCCAGGTATAGTGGTGCACACCTTTAACCCCAGCACTTGGGAGGCAGAGGCATGTGGATCTCTGTGAGTTCAAGGCCAGTCTGGTCTGCAAAATGACTTCAAGGACAGACAGAACCACATAGTAAGACTCTGTCTGGAAAAACAAACAAACAAACCAAGCATTTGTAACTTATATCACATAGACCAACATCTCTAACAACAGAGAAGAATGTAGAAATCAGGAAGTCTGGACCAACAGGCACATAGTTCTCAGAAGCAGCAGCACACAAATTGCTCTTTTTAAAAAGATGATTTATTGCTGGGGTGGTGGTGCACACCTTTAATCCCAGCATTCGGGAGGTTGGTGCTGGCAGTTCTCTGTGAGTTCAAGGCCAACCTGGTTTTCAGAGCAAGTTCCAGAACAGCCAGGGCTACCCAGAGAAATCCTGTCTCAAAAAGATGATTTATTTTATTTCATCTTTTGGTTTTTCGAGACAGGGTTTCTCTGTGTAGAACTGTCCTGGAACTCACTCTGCAGACCAGGCTGGCCTCAAAATCACTGAAATCCACCTGCCTCTGCTTCCCAAGTGCTGCAATTAAAGGTGTTCAAAACCACCACCCAGCTAAGATTATTTATTTTTAATTTTATGTGTATGAGTGTTTGTCTGCAGGTATGTCTGGCACCACATGTGTGCCTGGTACTCACAGAGGCCAGAAGAAAGCACCAGATCTCCTGGAACTGGGATTACAGGTGGTTGTGAGCCACCTTGTGTGTGCTGGAAATTGAACCTGGGTCTTCTAGAAGAGCAGCCGGGACTCTTAACTGCTGAGCCATCTCTCCAGCTCCAAATTGCTCTTGAATTTAGGAAAATACTCAGTTTCACTCCTAATAGCAGAAATGCATATCTAAGCCACACTGGGATCACAGGCCTTACCTATCAGATTGGCAAAAATTCAAAAACACACCCTGAGAGCTATGGGAAAGCAGCATGCTCATAGTTTGTCCAGGTGCAAAACAGTCCTACCCCACAAAGAAGAATTTGGCAATATCCAACAAAATCACAAAGCACATACTTGGATCCAGCAATTCCACTACTAAGATAGTAGATATTATTTCATATGGGCAAAATGAAGTACTTTTCCTTTGAAATTAAATTTGAATCTTTTTACTCAATGTAAGATTATTTACTATATTACCATATTTACTACAGATTACTGAAGGGACCAGCTCCCGATTTTAACAGCCATGACAGTCTAACATGGGCTTGCCTGACCTTGCCTTGGTCACTAGGAGGTCAGATGCCTGCCTCGTGGCAAGGAACCAATCAGAAGTTAACTGGTGGTGATATGCTTTGCAGCTCTGGGTGTGCTTTACGGAAAAGTGCAAATGACGTGCAGAGCATAGCAACCACCCTGGGAGGGCCTATGGGCCATAACAACCAGTTGACCAATCAACATAGGGCAAGTCCTCCAAGCCTGGAGGCACACCAATCCTGAGCCTGTGTGTACCCCTAGACACTCCCCTTATGCTGTCCTATAAGATCTCTGTCCTGTGGTTTCTCCAAGTCTTCCCCCAGCCATCTGCCATGGTGGATGGATGAAAGGCCCGAGCTAATGGGGTTAGCTCATTAAACAACTGCAATAAAAGACTCATTGCTTTTGCATCGAAATGTGCCTCTTGGTGATTTAGGGGTTCAGAATTTGGGCACAACAATTACTAATTACAAGATAAAATTTATTTACTGTAAGATTTTCTTTTGTTTGTTTTTTTGTTTGTTTGTTTTGTTTTTTGAGATAGAGTTTCTCTGTGTAATAGCCCTGGCTGTCCTAGAATTCACTTTGTAGACCAAGCTGGCCTTGAATTCACAGAGATCCTCCTGCCTCTGCCTCCTGAGTGCTGGGATTAAGTGTGAGCTACTACTGCCAGGTATGTCTATCTATTGGTGATTGGTTAAATAAGCCATGATTCACCTATATGCTAGATGGAGGTACTTAAAAAATGGAAGGGCGGGGGCTGGAGAAATGACTTAGCAGTTAGTTACAGTGACTGCATTTGCAGAGGGAAACTCAATTCCCAGGATCCACATGTTGGCTCATAACCATCCTTAACTCCAGTTCCAGGGGATCTGACATCCTCCAAGAGCATCATGCAGGCAAATACTAATACATATAAAATAAAATATTTTTTATTTTAAAAAATGAGTAAGAAGTAGGGCCTGGCAGTACAAGCCCGTAATCCCAGCTACTTGGGAGACTAAGGCAGTTTGCAAGTTCAAGCATGGCCTGGACAAGCTAGTGACACAAAGACTCAGAAAGATCTACAAGGACTAGAGCTATAACTTCAGGTATTACCTAGCATGCACAAAGCCCCAATTTCAATCTCTAGTACTGAAGGAACAACAAAGGAAAAAGAGAAGGAAGCACTTTTACATATTGTATTAGTTACTTTTATATTGCTATGATAAAACACCATAACTAAGGCAAAGGGTTTATTCGGGCTTACGATTCCAGAGTGTTGACAGCCCATCACCACCAAGGCAGGGAGCATGGCAGCAGAGAGGCAGGCATGGCAATGGAGCAGCTACTGAGAGTTTACATCCCGATCCATGAACAGGAAGTAGAGAGCACACTGGGGATGCTGGGAAGTGTTTGAATCCTCAAAGTCCTTCCCGTGTGACACACTTCCTCCAAAGAGACCACACCTCCTAATTTTTCTCAAATAGTTTCACCAACTGGTGACCAAGTATTCCAGCATATGAACCTATGGAGGCCATTCTCATTCAAACCAAACCAACAACTCCATTCCTTAGCTGCCATAGGCTTGTGGCCATATCATAATTCCAAATACATTTAATTTGATATCAAAAGCCTGCATAGTCCAGGCAGTGGTGGCACATGTGTTTAATCCCAGCACGGGGGTGGGGGTGGGGGGGT